TTTATCCTCCACTTTTTAATTCACTAAATGCTATTGTTAAGAGAGATTGAATCCATCACATCATGGTGTTCATCATATTTATTTTGGAATTAAAACACTTGAATTGTCGCACTCTACCTTCCAAATCCATTCCTTTGATACCCATATCGAAATGAATCCCTCGTATTGTGGTTTTTACCACATTTATTTTAGAATCAACCCATTTCTAGGCAGATAGTATGTCATCATTTGAGAAATGGACAAAATAATTTTAAACCTACTGTCATCACTTTAAAGAAGTGAAAAAAAAAATTTAATTACTTATAATTGTTTGGGGTCATGGGCGATTTTTCAATACTAACCTGGGTGCAGGAAATTCTAATATTTCTACCAAATTTGAAGTCGATAACTTAATTTTTGCTATCACGGGAGTGTCAACAACACGGACAGACAGACAGACATGGCTAAATCGATTCAGAATTTCACTCCGATCAAGGATATGTTTACGTATACACTTGATAGGGTCCTCTGTATTTTTGGGTTTTGCAAACCTTATCACAAAATCAGTAGACAGACCTCCATTTTTCGGTGATGCGCATAAAGACCAATGCAATTATTCGAACTTTAAATCAATTGGTTCAACCGGTATGACATATCCTAGCCATTGAAAGCTAAACTACTTGATAGAAGCCTTTTAAAATAATCAACCAAAGGTTAGGGATAAAACATATCGAAAATATTTCCTTGCCAACCGAATATATTTACGAACGATGGCAGTGCCATGGAATAAGAAGATTTGCTTGTTTGTTTATATAGAAGACACACTAATCTCGTTCTATTTACAATCTTACGTATCCAACTGGATTTACATACATACATATATATACTTCATATCCAATTGCATTGATTTTGAGTAAACAAGAACAAAACTAAAAACATTGCTATATAAGCTTATATTTCTTACCAAACGATTTCATATAGTAACTGCTTTACAACCAAGCTATCGTGCATTTATAGCCATAACAACAACGTCAATAATATTTAACGTAAAAAGATTGCCTTTTGCCTTTGCCATCAGCGAACTATATTTCGACTGACTTATGAGCAAACAACACAAGAAAAAAAAACCAAAAAACACAAAAAAGTGAATAAATCCAACAACAATGCAATCGCATAAAATGAAACTTACATAAGGGAAAAGAAGAGAGAAGTGCAACAGCAGCAGCAACCAGCAATAATAACAACTACAACGAGAATAACACGCGAAAGCAACTGATCACTCGTGTATGTATTTGTTTTCGTAATTCTTAAATTCATTCAAATGATACGCTCTTTTGAATCTCGAGCCAGGCACATACTGGCGTTTCAAGTATGCCATGGAGTTGTGTATGTGTGTATGTGCGTGTGTGTGTGTGTGTATATATACAATGCAAAGCCTATAACCATTTAACCATTTTGTTGTTATTATTGTTGTTTTTGTTGCTGCTGCTGCTTTTATTGTTGTTGTTGTTGTTAATGTAAAAATCCATCAAAAGCAAAGGGTGCGTGCGTATGCATTCGTTTTAGAATACAACAAAACGCAAACACATTCATGTTTATTATAAATATCGTGACTTTTTT